CGGTGCTCTGGTAGGGGTAGTTCCAATTGCGGGCCTAGCAAATAGAGGGGGACCGCAATAAGCTTGCTTAGCCTTTTTGAGTGTCGCAAATATGAACTGCAAATATTTTGACGCCAAATTGAAGCRTTGCCAGCTACACTGAGCGAAAAAATCAAGCAGCAGCAGCTCAATCAAGAAATCAAGTGCTTTTTTTTCGGGTCACAGCCAAAGTAAATATGCAACTTTTGGCAGCAAAACTCGAGCGAGGCTTTCATCGCCCGTTTTCTCTCAGTGCACACAGCGCACACTAATTTTGTTCTTTTGCCGTGCTATTTGCAGAAACTGGAGTTCCACACGCACACGGGCACCGCCCTGTTTCCCGCTCAATTTGCACTGAACTACGAGTTTGTGGACACGGAGCAGGGCGGCGAGACGTGGCCAGGGCGACGTGGCGAGGATCCGGTGCCGCCGCTCTGCTCACGTGTCTTCCGCAAGCGCAAGGGCAACATTCAGGTGCCGCGCAACGTGTTCCTCTATGGCCGGGGCGGGGCGAAGAACATCAGCTGCCTGTACCGGTTCGAGGCGGGGCCGTCGGAGCGCGTCAAGCTGGTGCTGCACAATGTCTCGTTTGGCGAGGGCACCGCCTGCACYACCGACTCGGATCTGCATACGGGCCGGCCGCGCTGCAATCAACTGGATCCCGAGGGCCGCATCACCGAGCTGCGGCTGTACGATGTGCCCTTCCGAGATGTGAAAATCCAGCTGGGCTGCTTCTGCGACAACTCCAGCGCCCTCTACAGCAACGCCCCGTTGACCTTTGTCTCGCACTCGCGCATCATGGAGCTGACCTTCACGGTGACGCGCCTCAACATCTCCGAAGACTTTGCCGACGTCTTCTTCTCGGCCTCGTATGAGTTCAAGCGCCAGCCGGATTGCCGCAAGCAGCTGAAACTGAAAGGCGCCGGCGGCGAGGACGAACTCAAGTATCCGCTGAAGACCCAGGACGCCAGCTGCGAGGGCCTCGCCTGGTACATCGAGGCGCAGTCGTCGGAGCGTTCCCTCTTCGTTCAGACCTGGGGCGCCTATCTGCCCGTCGATCCCACCTCCGAGGATGCCATGCGCTGTCATACCAAGAACCGGCTGATGGTCTACTCGGGCCGCCCCCTGAAGCCCATGCGCGTCGTCTGCCCCGCCCAGAGCGGCCCCCGGCCGACGTCCCTGCACATATTCTCCGAGGACTGGACCAATGGCCAGCCATTATTTATGAACAAGTAAGTGGAGTGCGCTGCATATTAATGACAACGGTAATTTATATAAAGCTCAGCTCTCTCCAGGCCCAGTC